TGCATGCCTCCACAGACCGCTGCGGTGAGTTTTGGGTCACACTCTCACAGAACCCGTCTCCTCACCAACCGTTCCTCTGTCCGGATCATGACCCTTCGTCCAGTGCGGCGTGTCGCTTAATCCTTAGTGAGCAATTCTTATGTTTTGTGCTACACCGCTGTCCACATGTCACCTCATATATGTTTGGCGATGACTAAAACTACTTCGTCGTCGTTTTTTGTCTTTTTTTCGAAGTGTCGCGTCGAAAATGTCAATGTGTCGCAGTTTTGGGCTTCCTGTTGCTGCCTTGTAACAGTTGACTGTGAACAGCTCTAATGAGTAGTACTGAATTAACATTGCCCTTATGCTCAAACCCACAATTAGAAGTCATTGTTAATCAGTTCTTGTCCACGACAAGTCTACTCAACTTAGAAAACCTCTGTGAACGTATTTCAAAAGTCTCCCAAGAGAAAGTGTTGTTTTACTTCAGTTCCGAGGTGCCGCGAAGGGATGAGAGCGGAAAAAACAGTCCCAGCGGGCTGGTGCCACCGATACGTGGAGACCAGGCATCACTTCGGCGAGGATTGTTTCGGAAAAGAGAGAAGGTGAGTGACTTTTAGAAAATCCCAAGGACAGGCATTTAGTGAAAGGACAGGATTCTGTCCTTTCACTAATTGTAAGTCGCTGAGGAGGAATATCGCTCTTTCTCTAACGGGTGGTCGCCCTCCAGCACAAGAGGTCGAGAGAAAACCAGAAGATGAAGTCAATTTCAGTCATCGCACGACTCATATGTTGAAGAGCGGTCAGGATGATGCCTCAGACGCCGATTCATCGCCATCAACGCCTCGAACCGCATCCTCAATCGACGATGGCTTATCTCCGTTGGTCTCAGCCGCTATGCTCAAGAAAAAGAGCGCTCCGAAACTCCATTTTGGTATGTTCGTTGTATTCAATTCCACTTGTAATTGATTAGGTTGTTCCACATTCGGTTCTGGCTTTCCCTCGTGACTCTGACATGTGTTTTGTTAAAAATCAGGAGTTTAATGATAGCTAGGAGAGAGGAGAGGCACACGGAGGCGCGAGCAGGTTCGAGTAGGTTCGCCTTCCGCACCTCTTGCAGAGGCCACAAGGGCCCTAGCCGCCTGCGGTTTTGTAAGGCGAAGCGTGAGCGGGGGCAGGGATTGCTACTTGATGGGGGGCGGAGCGGACCTACGGCGGAGCTTTTGTGGTCGCACCGCCGTGTGGCTCCTCCTCAACTACAGTAGCGCTATGAAATCAAGGGTGAACTCTACATTGGGCACTGCTAATGACATTTCTTACTGTTCAGCGTTCAACTTGTTAAAATCCAACAAAACGGAAAATATGGATGAGGAGTGCTCTGATTCGGAGACGGCGGATGAGCTGAGTGTGAGTCTTTTTTTTTTGTTAAAGGTCCTGAATTGTTTCGTTACAAGAGAGGTCACAATATGAGCTCCTTATACAACGAGAGACAGAGGGCACGGTAGTTGGAGGCGGGTGGTTGTCGCCAACGTCGTTCGTGGAAAGGCTGAGTGGGGTGTAGCCAAAGGCTTTCTCGCAGCCCTTCCGCCAATGACGCTGGCATCAATCGTCCGCCTCCGCCAGTCGTGCCCACTGCCTTTAATGTCTGATCCTGGGACTGAGCTGTGGTGCTGTTGTGTTTTCACTCATCTTCTTCCAATATTCGGCTCCACATGAAAATGTAGTTGTCCGACCAGCGCTTCCGAAAACTGCTTTCTCCTGATCTTTCGGTTTTCGGAAACGTATTTTTCGTGCTTACAATCAGCTCCATAACACTGCGATTTCAGGAAATCGACTACCTCAGTGCAAAAAGGCCTACCAGCGAATCTATCCGCTCCAAGCATCCAAAAAGTCCCGCCGATGGTAATTTGTTTCTTGGTTTTTTGGCGTTTTTTCGGTTTTCGAGCATTTTTTTTACTCTCTCATTTTGTTTTTTTTTGCTTTTATGGTGTTTTTTTGTGGATCTCGTACTTTGTATGATTCATTTGATTGTGTGTTTTTTATTGTTTACTTTTTGTATTTTTCTTTTACTTTGCTGTTTTTGGTTTTACTGTCGTTGTGAGAGCCATTCGGATGCGTTGAATTAACAGAATATTCTGATTGATCATGTTCAGCTCAAGGAAATATTCGCCTTTATGGTGTGGTAGTGCCCGCTCCGCGGATGTTGGACAGCAAGGTAAACTACAGTTTCAAAAAATCCTTTGACTGCCTAATCATTTAATTGATTAATTATATTTTCCCGAGGGAGAAATATTTGGAACTTGCCCATAAAACCTCAAAAGACCACATGCCATATTTTTTTTCTTGAGTTTTAGCTGCGCTTTTTCACGCTGGATGTTGCAAAGTAATCAAATACTCCTCAT